GAATTCATACCGCAACCATTACAAATACTTAGTGTCAGATATTTAAATTATTTCCATGCACGTTTACTTCAACTAAAACATACCAAATTCCTACAAACATAAAATTCACAAAATAACTATCATTTAATTAAAAATAATTAAATTCAAAAAAAACTACTTAAATATAAATGAGCACATACATTAAATTAATACATACAAATACCCATTTCGAATTCACTTTAGTTACGGCCATGGGATCCAAAAATTCACGAACACTGTTTCACACAACACAGAATAAAGTCAAATACAAAATTTCCAGATTTTTTCCCCGATTTCCCCCCTTTTCCGATTAAAGAACCGTAATTCGTCCATTAATATCACATGACATATCCCATGATCTCTCATTTCCCTCACACAAAATAATGCGTAATCGGAATACTGCTCACATTATTACCAAAGTCCCAGGTAGTAACCTTTATCGCCTCCAAAATGTCGCCAAACTACCAGTTACCATATTGTAAAGATCAACCAAAATTTGTTATAAAAGGGTGGCTTTCGTATTCATTACACATTAAAAATTTTTCCAATTTTTAATGTATCCGATTTTGGGTTGTATGAATTTTGGAAGAAAAAGAATCAAGATACAAAATGAGAAAGTCATTTTTTAATTATGATCAAGAAAATGCCATTCATTCATGACAATTTGAGGAACTTTGAAATTTCAGGGCTGAAACCCATAATGCTCAGAGGGTTAATATCATAAGTGTGCGGGAAAAAAGTAACTCAGAAAAACGGGAAATGGAAAGAAGACCCCTGGAAAATAAGGAAAGGAAAGGAGGGCGCCTGAGAATAAGAAATAGGAACTTGCAAATTTCGCCAATCCGAGTTGGGAAAACAGCCAGATTCTCATTTAACCAGCAGGGTTATAGCGAGATGTCTTGAGAGAGGTGTTAAGTGTAAGACACTGAACTAGCTGCACCTTACCAAGGCCTATTGAAAAAGAGGTTTTTTTTTCCAAGATGCCTCTGGGATGATCTCATTTCTGTTCGCTTGTTTTAAAACAGATTTGTTTCTCACTGTTCTGGAAAGAGATCCAGGTTTAGGGTAGTTTCCCCAGAAGAAAAGAATCAATTGGAAAGCAATTTTGCTGCTGTAATGTATTAATGATTATCGGCTGTGGAACTAAATGATTTCATCTGTCCCTGACTAACAACTAACAGTTTGTTCACAGCTCGATTTAGTCCCTAATTTATGTTGCCGTTAAAGGCCTGGAATTTGCTGTTTCATAAAATAACTATATTTCATAAATTACCTTATTGAATCAGTTAAAGTATATAAAATTATTGGATTCTGTGATATAGCTAGTTATTTTATAGAATACCAATGGCCTAATCATTACAAGGTGTTGGTAAATATCTTTGTTATTGTACAGTCAAAAGTCTTTAATCCGGACTCATCGGGACTTCAGCAATTCCGGATTATCTGTTTTTCCGGATTATAGATAATCAGTTTAAATCTGGTAAGATAGCATGCAGAAATTTTAAAATTCAAAATATGAAACCGTAATTTATGAAATGAAGAACAATTATGATCTAAAGAGTATCGAAATTTACAAAAAAAAGCTTAATTTTTATTTGTTTACTTTATTAAACATTTCTTTCTACGCGCACATGCCTAAAGCATACATTACACATAGTTGAAATTAGAAAATTGCAACCAGAAAACTATTTTATGTGTATTCGTGATATTTATAATGATGAGGAATTTGATTTAAATCATATCAAAGACGGAGTACATCGAGATGAAATACAGTCAAAAGTCGTTAATTCGGACACCCATAATCCGGACCTCAAAGCTAAAAACTTTCTGCGCATGCGCCGCGGTGGCACATGCGCACAGGCGTTTTACGCGAGCGCGTAAGACCTTGACTACTGCGCATATGCGTGTGCGCAACTGCAGAATACGTTTTCGCCTGCGCGTTTAATGTATAACAGACGGTGTTAGCTAAAATTATCTAATTATCTATTTCAGTTAATGTTAATGATTGCGTTGTTCCTTAATCTTCGAATTGGATCCCGGCTTATTATTTTTTAGCAGACTGTAAGAGCAATTTTTATAAAAGTAAACTTGAACTTTTCGATTATGTCAAATAGAATTTCCGATGCTGGAACTTCCAAAGGATCTACAAAACGAAAGTATGTTTCGATGTCCAACAAACAAAAAGTGGAATTGCTGCAAAAAAAATGGATAAAGACATGAAGAATGTGACAGAGAGGTTAGTGAAAACGAAAAAATTTCGATTGACAAGTTAGTCGGTATTCTCGGCACAGCAATTAACGGGACTTGAACAGCGGAACTTTGTAACTGAACAAGAAATTATGTCTTTTTATAGAATTAAAGAGAAAGTATTATCACATAAAATGAAGCAACTTAAACAACTTACATTGAAAGAAATGTTTAATAAAGTAAACAAATAAATATTAAGCTTTTTTTTTTGTAAATTTTGATACCCTTTAGATCATAATTGTTCTTTATTTCATAAATTACGGTTTCATATTTTTAATTTTAGAATTTCTGCATGCCATCTTACGAGATTTAAACTGATGATCTATAATCCGGAAAAATCGATAATCCGGAATCGCCGAAGTCCCGACGAGTCCGGATTAACGACTTTTGACTGTACTACATTTAGTAAGGAATTATAAGCCGAATAAAATAAAAACATCTGCCTTGAAGATAAGGATAGTGCTGACAGATCAACTTCCAGTTCGTTGCGACGTTCCCCTCCCCCCTCCCGAGAGCAGCGCGAAATTGATAAACAGATTCGGAATGGTTAGAGAAACAAAGGATATCCCTTTATCCATTTTTTGCAGCAATTCCACTTTTTGTTTGATGGACATCGAAACATGCTTTGCTTTGTAGATCCTTTGGCAGCTCCAGAATTCGGAAATTCTTTTTGACATAATCGAAAAGTTCAAGCTTACTTTTATAAAATTGCTCTAACAGTCTGGAAAAAATAATAGCCCGGATCCAATTAGAAGATTAAGGAACAACGCAATCTGCAACATTAACTGAAATAGATAATTAGATAATTTTAGCTTAGCTTATACCGTCCTATATATGTGTAAACGCAATTGCATTTATGCATGCGCCGAAAGTTTGTAGCTTTCAGGTCCGAATTATAGATCGTTCCGGATTAAAGACTTTTGACTGTATTAGAAAATGCCTGATCGTTAGCAAAGATGGCATGCAAAAGCTGCTTTATTGCCAGCAGGACTGAGTAACCTAATAATTTTTATAAGTTGTAAAAATATAACTTTTGGTGTAGTATAGTTAGTCATTTTTTATTGCTGTTTAATTAATCTAGCAAAAATATTTATTATTATGTATTCTGTTTTACTGTATTTTTTTTTTTTTTAGATAATCTATCCGTAATATGAAATGTATTTTTCCAGAGAGTAGCGATTTATCGTCAGTTGATTTGTAAAACAAATGATTTTTTTTAAAGCCAAATTGATTATTTTTTACTTTAACAATATATCTTTAGTTAATTTACAGAATAACTAGGTATTTTATAGAACAATTCGTAAAGTGTGAAATTATTAATCCATTGTTACTGTTGTCGTGACTTATCTTCCTTGTCTGACGGTGACATCAGAACAAACCCATGAAATTCATCGTGGCAAGGAGATCAAGCCTGCGCCTGTCGTTGTCAAGAGCCTTCCGCACTGTACTGTTGACAGCAGGACTTTGCTCAGTTCCGCCCTAAATTTTGAAGGAGGTCATCCTGAGATGGAGTGCCCTCTGTCAAAAGGATTTCAGGGTCTCCCACCACTTCCCCTCTGCAACTAACCTCTCAAGAGGCCTTTTGGCTCGCCACAAATTTAGATCCGCACAAATTTAGAGCCATGCTGCACAGACACTATACATTTACAAGCATCCATGCCTTTCCCGGGATTTGAACATGGGCCCTTCGATACAGCAGTCAACTTCACTAACCACTATCCCAGTTGGATGACTTATTAATCTATTATACACTTTAATCGACTTGGCTAGTTAATTCACGAAATACCTAGTTATTCTATTAAATAATTTAATTATATGTTTTAATGATAACATATATTGTATCACTACTAACATCAACTGGTAAATCAGGATTCATGATGCGAAACTTAGCTGAAAATATCCTAATCATATTTCATGTTTTAAAATTTTACCCATTTATGGTGGAATATTTTAAGTTATAAAGCATTGTGACAATTCTTAATGACTGATGAAACAAATCTCAACAAGTAGATTTCATAGCACTGACCTCATTTTAATACAAAGTGAATTGAATATGAATGTGTCGCTTTATGGAGTCATTAGGTTTTTATGAAGCAGAGGACATGAAAAATGAGCAGTGCTCTCGCCGGGACTCGCACCTGGACCTTTCGAATACGTACTGAGTGTGCTACTACGATACACCGTGAATGCGTGCAGAAAGGAGTGAGAAACCATCTTATAACATTAAATATTTGACTAAAGATACAATTTACAACAAAGTGCGTGTGAGCCCAGGAATCGGAAGTATTAAATAATACATGTTGATTCTTAGAAATTATAAGTAGAAGAGGATGTCCAAAAAAATCAATCAAATTTTGAGTTATTTTGAAAATGTTTTCTACAACAATATACAAGGTGGTTCAAAACTATATGTCAAAAATGTAAAGGCAGGTAAAGGGACCTAAATAAGCAGATTTCGTGTAGGAATGTGCGTGTGGTTATGCCGCATTGAGCCAGTAGAGAGCTCTGAGGAGTGCGTTGTATAAAAGCTAGCGCAGCTAGCTGGATTCTTCATTTCCCGCACGGATCTTGAGCAGCATGCTTCATTACACCAATGCGGAGCTTACTGACATGCATCTCATGTATAGGGCTGCACAAGGAGGTGGATTAGCTGCTCAAAAATTTACAGGGAGCGATTCTCAGAGTGGAATCAGCCGGATAGTAGAACATTTGAGCAACTTCATCGAGAGTTAAGTATGGGTGGATCATTTTATGTGTCCAGGCATGATACTGGCATTGGAAGACATCACAGAATTCCTGAGGTGAAAGAAAGGATACTAAACACAGTAGGGGATAATCCTTCATCAAGCTCTAGAGCAGTAGAACGTGCACTGGGTGTGAGCCTTGCAACTGTTTTGAGGACTTTACATGAAGATGGAATACATCTGTATCATTTACAGAGTGTGTAAGCAATGACTCCTGACGATTATGTTCTACGTCTCAACTTTGCTCGTTGGTACCAACAGCAATCTGCAGGCAATCAAGCTTTCCCTGCCGATGTTTTATTTACTGATTTCTAAGAATTTCATACACTAGCAATCAATCAATAAAATAAAGAAAGAATGCAAGAAACATCGATAGTAAAACACCTTTTTTCAAGAAATCTTACTTTTTTGTGCTACTATTCTCCCCATGTTCACAGTGACCAGTTTTTGCTTAACCTTTTCAGCATGAGTTTGTCATATACATTTGTTGCAAACTTTAAGAGGCAATTCTGCAAAGAACCTGGTAAATGTAAACACTGCAAAAAATAGTTCAAACTTCGTAATTCAACAGATTTGCTTGTTCGGAGGCAGCAGCCGTTCTGTAATGTTCTTTTTGGTCTGGTCGTAATTTTGCTTATTGTGGCATCACACTCATTGTTCATGTTTGTATTGTAATTTATTCTTCATTTATTTACTTTTACTAACCACTATCCCGGTATTATCCAACAAAAGTTCTGACTATTATCCAACAAAAGTTTTGCAACGCTACCAAACGGAAGGAAATGAGGGAACTACTCTGATATGGGCCCTCAAGTAGCCAAATTTCTCGCCAAACATTTTTGGCGAGAAACTTCACGCTGCCATATTACTATCTAAATTTTTTGTCTACATTTCGAACTTTAAGCCTAAAATGTCTCCAAAAACGCTGTTTTCGCACATGCAAAAACTACATTTTGAACACACGATTTAAGCTAAAAATCCGAAACAAAAACAAAAAATTTAGATAGCAAAAACGTAAAGTTTCTAACTAAAAATATTTGGCAAGAATTCATGTACACAGCGACATGTTTTAACTTGAAAAAAACATCTACGAATGGCACAATGTAGGCAACGAACGAATCTACGAACTACGCACACCTCGCTTTAATAAATTAACATAACAACAGTAAATTTCAAAGAATACAATGTACACAGCATCCTGTTTAAATTTAAAAAAAAAATCTACGAATTGCACAATTTAGGCAACGAACGAATCTACAAACTACGCACACCTCACTTTAATAAATTAACATAACAACAATAATTTCAAAGAATACCATGTACCCAGCATCCTGTTTAAACTTAAAAAAAACATCTACGAATTGCACAATTTAGGCAAGGAACAAATCTACGATCTACGCACACCTCGCTTTAATAAAATAACAACAATAAATTTCACATAATACCGTGTACACAGCGTTCTGTTTCAAAAAACAACAATAACGACAGAAATTCATACTAAAGAACCAATGAACATAACATTCTACAAAATAAGAACAAGAATAATATAAAATGCATTTACCATGAATTAATGCTTTTTCGAACAGCAGAAATACCAATTTCATACCGCCTTTAACATGCCGCCACGTATTCACTATTGTATTTACATGACAGCCAGACACACTCGAGAAATTTCATACTATGGTTCACAAATAAATAAAATCACAAATCCCTACTTCTATCATGCACAGCCATAAAAAAATAATCTCCCAGACCCTATTTCCACACCTCCAAATACCCACTACCCCTCAACAGGATGGCTACAATGATATTTCCTTTTGCCGAACTTCAGTTCAACAACTACCATTTTATCTTTCCCTCCCATTTTCTCAAACACAGATGCGAATGAACGAGCTCCAGCGAAAGATTTTTCAACGTCAGCAGGGTTGCCATAGAACACGCAATCACTCCAAAAACCAGCGCAGAACACATATCGCCACATTTGGTGAAATTAGGGCGTATATCAGAGTTGTACCGAAATGAGTTTTTGGACAAAATTGTGACTGGAGAGGAACAGCTATCAGACATTGGATGGGATTTTTTTGCAGAAGGCATCGAGAAACTTGTACCACATCTCGACAAATGCTTAAATAACAGAGGTAATTACGTTGAAAAGTAGATTATGAATGAAACTTTAACCTTTTGAGAACAGGATGGCCATTATAGTGGCCATAGATTCCTCTGTTTGAAAGGACGGGATTGTCCACTTTAGTCCATGTCTTTTTCCCCCATTTTCCATTCTGAAAGAGTGGGATGAAGTGTCAAATTTGACATCCCTGGGGTTTTAACCACTTATCTCTTTCAAAGGTCTTTGTGTTAAGAATCCGGTTTTTCACAATTTTTCCCTTTTAGTTCTTATAGCTACAGAATTCGCGATAACTGCGTTTGTAAATTGTAAACAGAGCCTTGCGTTGCTTTAGAATATTGCATATTTTCGTAAGTTTTTTAGGAATTATTTGAAGTTTTTCTAGCAATTGACTTTTTTCCAGCAATATGCCAAAAAGGAAAAGAGGTCTGACTGAAGAAGAAATACGAAAACTTCTTCAAGAGTTTTGATGATGAAATATATACACATACATATATTTGTATGTTTATATACGTATGCATAAATCCGCACGCAAAACACATATATATAAATGCAAATGTGTGTGAACATGTACGTGTCTGTATATACGTTATTCCCATTTAAGGGTATGCATGCTTTCCGCTTTATGTGCATATCTGCACTTATACCATATGATATCAATGCAGACATACATAATGGAAATGTAGGTATACATTTCCATAAACAAATATAAATTCCCACATACTTGTATACATGTACAAGCACTTTTTCTTACATTCTTATCAGTTCATTCTTAACAGTTCCGTCTGTATTTCCATATATATCTGTTTATGCTGAAGTGACCTTCACACACGGAAGTTTACTGTGATGGTATTGTTATTCAAACAAATCACAAGAACATAAATATAAATTTTGTGTCAAAGAAATAACAATAGTTTTACAATTTCAGTCTGAAACCTGGAAATCGTAAATACACTAAAACTAGTCAATTAGTTTGAAAGGTCATCTCTAGCCATTAGATTCCAGATGTACTGATGTTCTGTTATTTTAAAGAGTACCTCCGTATCAGTGTCTCGGTTTCACGGTCAAATAATTTTGAAGTAAGATGTTCAGAATGGATTAGAGTAGCATTTGTGAAATTTTACTGTCTGTTGAGCTCCGAGAATACAAATAGGACGTAAAAGCTCTCAAATAATGCACAAATCATTGTTCTAAGAAACACATGTTCCCCATCTGTATTTCTGAACCTTGACCTTTTAAGGATTGAATGCCTTTGTCATTCATTAGACATATATCTCAGCAACTACGTTCAAGGACAACGATTTCCTGGGGGCATACCTTGGGCACTCAGTTATGAAATAGTTTCGATACGACAGCATAATGACCGAAGTGTTAATGAAACCAATGAATAGCAGCCAAATTTTCACTAAAAATGAGAAAAACAGTTAATTCAACTGTGTCAGTATAGATTTTGCATGACCTGACAATGAAGATTTTTTGAGTAACTGCAAGTAAAGATACTCGCTAATATATCGTAGAATTTAAATTCCGCCATATAAAATATTCTGAAATGATTGATGCCAAAGCTGCTGCAAAGACAGTCTGGAGTTGAAACGAACAGGTTTCAACAATAGAGGAAAAAAAAAAATTCACATGCGACGACAATTTCAAACAGGAGAGAAGTTTACTGATCGGGCACCTTTTCTCTTAATGTGCTAAATTATGTAGCAGAATATAGAATAACATAATACAGTATTGAAAACTAAACTAATTATCATGTAACTTTTGTCCCACAGTTTTTGCAGACACTATGCATAACAAACAATTTTCCCTTCAATTTGAAAAACTCTTTGCACTAAGAAATTACCTAAATTTTGATACCTGAGTGAACACGTTCCTTTAGTGAGGCTGGGAATTTAGTTTTAGACAAATGGAATTAATGCTTTGAATTATGGGTTTGCATACTAAATAATTTGACGTTTTTAATGACTGAAATCCATTCTATTATTAATACTTGAAATATATAACTTACTTATTTTCAATAAACAGTATAAAACGGTACATGAATAAACAATCTTTTTTTTTCAAATTTTTAAAACTAAAATATTCTAAAAAACAGTTTTTGAGCTTCTGTTTTATTATACATTAATTTTGGAAAAGAACTGAATTTTAATTAGTAGCACTTATATAGTTGGACATTGCGGTACTAACAGTCTACAATAAAATAAAATTATTTTTAATTGAACCAGTTATATTCTACTTCCCTTCCTTTTGCAACATAGATGCACCCCTCTGAGAGTCCATTAAACTACACACAAGAATCTTTGTTGCCAATAGGAGGTGATTTCTTAAAGGGGGGAAAGCATTCGGCTCAAGATTCCCCGTCCTTTTAAGGCTTTTACTGCTACCAAAGCCCCAACCTCAAAAGGTTAAGATATAAATAAAGTTATTGTAAAATTTTACTGCTGTTTTCTTTTCTTTCTTGTTTTGTTCTTTTTTTTTTTTTTTTTTTTTTTTTTTGACTGACCCTCCTATTTTGTCTGATTTCCATACTACCTTTCCTGAATTTTTTAACAATGAATAGATGGAATTATTTTCATTTAATTAAGGAAGTTGTTCGAGACAGATGCTTGTCTGTAGTAGTGTGTCTCAAAAGAATTATTGCTTTCATCGAAAACATGTTCACACCACAGGCCTTAATTTTTAATATCAGAAGTGCCGGAGCCATAGGAAAGGAACAAGGGAAAAAATAAATAAAAGAATACCTATTAATAAAATAACTAATAATTAAAATAATTAAATAACTAAATTAAAATACAATTAAAACAATCTGAAAGGTATCAAATTTTAAATTACGTCCAAAGGGGCATTTTTTTAACGTTTTGTGTGTTACCTATATTTATTGAATATCATGTTCTTTGCACTTAAATCATAAAATTCAGTTCAACAATGTCTCAAAATAATTTTAAAATGAGCATATCTTTAAAATTTCCGATACACAGTTCCACGCACTGGAGATAAAAAGGTCCCTCCCCCGGTAGAGTGTTGCCATTACTCACTTTTAAATCATTGAGTTTGTTAATCAAAAATTCTTTA